TGGGGTCTCCACGGACCAAAGCAGCAGCGCCCAAATCAGGACCCTTGGGTCCCATCCATGCCTCAGGAGCTTTGCGGTGGTCTTTGGTCGTCCGGACCCAATCCTTTGCCCATGGATGTGCCCCAGGGATTGCTTTGGTGTCTCCATGCATCCCGGGGATTGCTTTGGTGTCTCCATGCGCCCCAGGGATTGCTTTGGTGTCTCCATGCCAAACAGCAGCCAACCAGCACCGTCCTGGGAGCATCCTGGATGCGCCCCAGGGATTGCTTTGGTGTCTCCATGCACCCCGGGGATTGCTTTGGTGTCTCCGTGCCAAACAGCAGCCAACCAGCACCATCCTGGGAGCATCCTGGATGCACCTCAGGGATTGCTTTGGTGTCTCCATGCATCCCGGGGATTCTTTGGTGTCTCCATGCGCCCCAGGGATTGCTTTGGTGTCTCCATGCCAAACAGTAGCCGACCAGCACCATCCTGGGAGCATCCTGGATGCAGCATTATGGATGCACCCCGGGGATTGCTTTGGTGTCTCCATGCCAGCACCATCCTGGGAGCATCATGGATGCACCCCGGGGATTGCTTTGGTGTCTCCATGCCAGCACCATCCTGGGAGCATCATGGATGCACCCCGGGGATTGCTTTGGTGTCTCCATGCCAGCACCATCCTGGGAGCATCATGGATGCACCCCGGGGATTGCTTTGGTGTCTCCATGCCAGCACCATCCTGGGAGCATCATGGATGCACCCCGGGGATTGCTTTGGTGTCTCCGTGCCAAACAGCCAGCGCCATCCTGGGAGCATCCCTGCATTTTCCTTCCAGGGCCGGGCCTACGCTGGCACTTGCTTGCAGACGCAGCCCCTCCACCTTCCACGGGGTGCGTGACAGTTCTCCAGGCGTTAGGAATTGGGATCCAGAAGGGCGCATGGACACCCCGATGCGGGTTTATTTAACACTGCTCCCTGTCAAAAACCACTCGCTGGCTCTGCTGGGGAAGGCAATTCTTTTTTTGGGCTCCGTCTAATCCCTGTTACTGAATTTCTTGATCCTTCAGATCCTTTTTCCCTGGGGAAGCCACCAGCGAAATCCCATTTGCGCAGCCCTGTCTGTGCATCCACGGGAGCCCGCTCCGCCCCTCCATCACACCACCCCGCCGGCGGCTCTGCGTTCCCTGAACGTCCATGCCAAGTCCCCTAACTAATCCCTTAACTTTAAGCCTTGCTCTCTCTTGGCTTTAAACGCTTTTATCGCTTACCCTGATGGAGGTGATGGCGCAGAAGGGGCTTTTTCGGCAGGGGGGGAGGCAAAGGTTGGCTTGGAGAAGCCCAGATGAAGCTGGAGCCTACGTCTCCGGGACCCGCTCAACAATCGCTGGTGGGATAAAAAACCATAATTTGGGTTTTTATGTGAGCCGTAGTGGTGGCGGGCAAAGGAACGCGGCGCTCAGATTGCGAATCCTCCGGGAAGGAGCGAGATCCCTCGTTAAGACTGTTGCGGTTATCACCTTGGAGGGTGCCTGGACCTCTAGATGTAGCTCTTGAGCTGTCGTACAAAG